GAAATCAACCCCAAAACCTAAACCGGAGCCCAATCCTGAAGCACAGCCCGAACCGGCTGCTGTGAAAGAGCCTGCACCAGAAGAGGTCTCGCCTCTTTCCTCACTAGCTCCCTCGCCGGAGCCTGAAGCCAAGACGAAACCAAAGCGGCAAGATACAAAGGCTCCAACCAAAGCTCCGGGCGGTTTGGGCCTCAAGAGGACCAAAGCAACACGAACTACATCTTCACCTGTCAAGTCGAGTCCCAAGAATTCGCTCTTTGGGATGCTCAAGGAAGCCTTTACTGGAGAATCAGGCAATTCTCTTCCCAAGGTGAAGCCTTATCAGAGTCGAGAGGAACGACCTTATGATGACGAGCCCGAATCCATGTACACCGATTCCAGATACAGTGATTCGCGTTATGATGACTCAAAATACGAAGGGTCAAAATATGATGATTATCACCATGAAGAGTCTCGTTATGATGACGAGCTTACATACGATGACTCGACTGAAAACTGGACTGAAACAGAACTGTCAAAGGCTGGAAGGCCGAGAACTGTGAGATCCCCGTCTCCCTTGGAAGAAAAGAAGAAGTCCCAAAGCCCAGAGCAACCACGGGAACCGACTCGGGAACCGGCGCGAGAACCAGAACAAAATCGTGATGACCGATCGGCTTTGCCGTCAGCACGTATGGCGGGCCCTCGTCTTCCACCGCCAACTCGAGGTCAATATGAGTTGTCTACAATTCTTTCTGAGGAAGCTTCCAGCGCTGTCGAATCGGATTTTACCACTGATGTCACGCAATCCACTATTACGCAATCCACTGGCGTAACGAAAGAGACCAGACGTTCGAACTCTCGCTCGAATTCCAAGAGCCAAGGATCTGGGCTCAAGCGACGGCTTACTCGTCACTCTGATCTCGTCTCAGTCCTCTCGCTACCTGATGACAAGAACGTCCCCAGTGCCATCACAAGTAACCGCTCAAGACCCAGTATGCGGAAGAGCCGGGGTGGGGCCACAGATGTGACAAATGACGACTTGCTCAAAGAATTTACCGAAGATGAGAGTCTCTATCTTAGAGAGTTGAAGACACTGGTCGACGGTGTTATCCCAGTCCTACTATCACAGGTCGTCAATGGCGACAATGCTACTGATCTGTTCGGCACTAGCAACCCAGTGACCAAAGCTGATGCTCTCTCGAAGTCTGTGGTGAACATGGGTGTTGCCCTAGAGAAACTTCGCATGGCTCACCGTAAGGCTCCCATTTATGATATTCGTCGACTGGCTTCCTGGGGCCATGGTGTCGTACCCATCTACCATAAGTACCTCGATGCCTGGAGGCTGGGTTTCCAGGATCTCGTCGTCAATCTTGCCCCCGCCGCTGGATCCCCAGAAGATGAGGATTCTCTTGTCGGTGCCATGCCCAGGAATGAGTCTGGAGATATTGTTGATGCTACAGGAGAGCGTGTTGATGTGGCGCACCTTCTCAAGAGACCCCTCCTCCGACTCAAGCAAATCACAAAATTCTTTAAGTGTGTCGACTCTATTCTTGGGACTAATGATACTTATGATCTCCTGAGTGACTTTGAGGACCTTCAAGAAAAGGCTCGCCGTCGACATCGAGAAGAAATGGCTCGATTGACTGACGAAGACGCTATCAACACCGATACAACCAGATCGCGAGACCTTCGAACACTTGCTCCAATGGAGGCTGTGTACATTGAGCCTTCACGACAAGTCAGCGCCAAGGACTTCTTCTCTCTCGACTTGGCGCATTCCAATGGTCAGCGCCTTGAGTGCCAGATTGAGTTGGTACACCGAGATAACCAGCGTTATCCTGAAGATAAGGGCGATATCCTGATCCGCGAAAATGGGGTCAAGGGTCGATCATACCTTCTATTCCCTCCTGTACCTATTGAGTTGATCTCAGCCAGGACAGGAGACGGCAACTTTGACATGGTTGTTATGATCCGAGGAACGCACAACGACAGGCCATGGCACGAGCTACTCACACTCACCACTGACAACGAAGACCAAATCTTGGACTGGCTAGATATCCTTCCAGTTTCACCTGTTCCTCCAAGAGAGCCAGAGCCAAGTATAATTGACGATGAAGAGCCATACTCACAATCTCGGATGCCTGATGTCCCAGTTGGCGTTCGAGGGTCCTCTCGCAAGTACTCTGCCCAATCTCTTCGGAACTCACACTCTCGCCGCTCATCTGCTGCTGAGTCTCCTCCAGCCAGCCCAACTACACCGAAGCGAGCGCTGCCAGCCAGATACCGCCCGCGATCAGCATCTCCAGTAACTCCTCCTCCTATGAAGTCGCCCGATCAGTACGATCTGCAGAGGACACCAACACAATACGACTATGGATATGAGGACAGACCAATGACCTCGCAGAGCATGCAACCTGATCCCCTCAACATACGCAAGAGCCCAAGTAGTTCATCCTACAGAGACGATGGCGCGCCGCCACCCCCAGCTCATCGAACTTTCAGTCCCAGCCCTAGTCAGCAAGCTCCTTCGAAGCCAAGATTTTCCAAGCCATCACCCCTTGAGCCTCCCAACAGCAGCCGTGTCAAACGCCGTACCTCATCTCCTCTCAAGCACGAATACCTACCTTCAGACCAGTCATCAATTTCTGGCACGGATATCACGGGCAGCTACGAAAACACCGAGGATGACTACACCGAATCAGACTACAGCTATGATTCCTCGGACGACGATATCGAGAGCGTTGATCTTCCAGAGACTGAGTTAGGAGTTAGTATCAGAGATGAAGACCCAGCTCGAGACATTATTAGAGAGGAGTTGGAACATCAACTCGAGACACTTGAAGAGGAAGGATCTCTTCAAGACTACCACCAACGACATGAACTCCATGAATCCGTCGTATCTGGCTCAATTGGTAGCCTGGCTCCATCAAACTCCGCCTCCCAGGCTGGCCTCCACGGACAAAAGGTCGCCCCGGAAGACAATGCCACAAGATATGTGGCTACTATTTCCAGATGGTCCGACAAGGGGATGTGGAAGGATATTTCTGGAGGCAACCTTGAAGTTATCGTCACTCCAGGCTTAATCGAGGCATATGTCGTACATAGCGGAGCTGAGCAAGGAGATAAGCCCATGCTCGCACTCGACCTCACCCCACTCGTGCTCATCCGTCAGAGCACAGCTCTCGACCTTGAAATCCGCTCGTCAGTCCGATCCGACTGCCAGCTTGCCAGCTCACACGGTGGAGGAAACTTCCGCTTCCGATGCCACAACGGACCTGACTGCTATAACCTTTACATGTCAGTTCACCACGCTCGTCTCAACAACCAAAAGTTCATTGAGCTTGAGAATGAAGCACGGTTCAGAAGCTTTGGTGAACACAAGCCATCTCCCGATAACGATGACACAAGCAGTCGGCGAAGAAGCTGGTTCGGCCGTAAGAACAGCTACCGTGGTTCAGTTCGTGCGCCTGCCCAATCTCACGATGGTGCAAGCACTACTCCCTCATCTACTCTCTCCGCGTCAAGCTTCCTCAAGAGACTCACTGGTCGCGGACTTCCTTTCAGTCTGGCTCGCTCCTCTGTTAACCGAAACAGCCGCTATGGTGGCACCAATACTCCTGGATCCTCATCTTATGGCGGCAACACACCTCGCTCGCCTTCCATCAGTGTTGAGAACAGCGGTCGCGGCCCCGCAAGCTTTGGTACTGAAGACCTCAAGATCCGCCTACATCTTCTCGTCGCAGCCGCCAAGTGGGAGGATTTTGGCAACTGCAGACTATCCATTCGACGACCTCCTCCAGGCTGGCACCAGGCTCTTCGTGCCGACCACGGTCTGGAGAAACGTGTCACGGTCACCACGATTCCACGCAAGGACTCGGAGCAGCCAAAGATCTTGTTAGACGCAGTCCTGGGCAGTGGATGCTTCACAGCCATGGGTAGCCGTGGTATTGTATGCGGTGTCTGGGAGGAGATGAAGGGCAGCAATGGCGTTGTCGGCGTTGTTCCGGCTACGGGCCCTACAGGTGGCAACGTCAAAAAGTGGTGCTTCCAGTGCGCCAGCGTTGCAGAGGCAAGCTGGGTTCTGAGGCTTGTTCACCAGGAGGTCATGACAATCTGAGCGACTCTGCTGCCATCCCCTTCAACCGTTTATACCTTCTCTTGTATTTGATCACAAGCACATTCACAATCTGGCTCATCCCCAGACTCATTACATTAGTCAGTTTTCCTATTTTGATATCCCGGTGTTGCTCAGCACACCATCACCTTTACATTTGTTCTTATTACTCTCGATGCATGGCATACGGCGAGACTTAACGATACCACATTTCTTCAAACCTTTTAATACGATTTTATATACCAATCTCGTTTCTGCGTTCACGCATTTAGACATGGGCGGATGGCGTCTGGATGACAAAGGTCTGGGCTACTGGAGAAGTCTTGGGCCGGGAGGAGTACATCAGCATGCATTTTGCAAACCATCATGAGGAGGACGTTTGGGGTTTTGTTTTCGGTGAACATAGTAGGGGAGCGAAGAGAGAAGCATATAGTGGATGACAATTGAATCATATTTGCACGACTCTGTCCGATGCGAACTGTTCAAGAAATTGAAAGTTATTATCAACACCAGATTCAGGGCTGCTTGCGACCACTTCTGCCGAAAATCATCATGGACCCCAATACTGTGAAAGACTGATATAGAATAAACCATGAAAATGAGTTCAAGACTCAAACGTAGTATTTAGTCGACCAAAACAACTCCGTTCCCCATCCCGAGACTATATAATGCCGTCGTTAACTCTGTTTGCTGTTGTATGCAATGTGAGGTGGGATATTTTAATAATTGTTATACAAGAAACCCCATGTTCAAACATGCTCCCTGATGTGGTCCCATGACCCGTCGTTTTTCAAAACGAAAAAGGGCCACATCGTTCTATAGACGCGTGGTAGCTAATCATCCCAAAACACGAATACAATAACTTCAGAAGGGGGACTTTGCCCTGTAAATGTAGAGTGTCGTAAGCTCATGAAATGGGAGTGATAGGTTGAGGTTTACCGCCATCGACGATAATCTGTTGGTGTATCCGGGCAGCTATGTCTCCATACTCGAGACGTTTCCAAGTCTTGATACGAGCCTCGTTTGTATCGACTTCAAACAAGCGTACTCGGCGATGGTAACCACCGTAGCCGGCGTATCCGCCGAAGCCAGAACCACCAGCGTAACACATCCACATGGCTGGGGCCTTGTTTTCGCCTTCACCCATCAGAGATAGGGAGCAGTAGTCATTGCAGTGATCACTAAAATATGAATGAGTATTTTTCAAGACAGGATAGGAATCCAAAACTTACTGTCCTGCGCTGACCATAAGGACACCCTGCTCTACAAGGGCATCGCGGAAGCCAGAGTTATATATTGGGGCAGTGACTCCTTCTTTCCAGTCGCCAACACGTGGTAGTTCCGGGTTGGCATACTCTGTCAAGGGAATATGGATGAAAGCGATGTCCATGTGGCGGCCAGTGAACTCATTGTGATTCTTCTTGAGACCAGCAGCAGTCTTCTTGAACCATTCTATTTGGTTAGGTTTAACCCAGTCGTAACCAGGAAAGTTGCGTTCATCGGGCGTGTAGGCGTGCGTATCGAGAAGATAGATGGTCAGAGCAGAATGATCCGTCTTTCCACGGGCCAGGACTTCGATATAGTAATTCCCAACACCCTCGATATCAGCTGGCCCAGCAATGGAAAGGGAATAAGGAAGAGTCTCCATAATAGCCATCTGAGCCTCGCGAGACATGGTTTGTTCGTCATCGTGGTTACCGAAAATGGCGGCGTAAGGGATCTTGCGCTCAATCAGTAGCGAGATGATCTTGAACATGGCCTAGATGATGTTAGAGGCGAACACTATAATGTTAAGTCGGGCAACACTCACAGTAGGTGCATCTGGTGCTGTGTCACCGTTAACTTGGTCGCCACTCAAGATTACCAGATCGGGCTTTTCGTCGTCAAGGACTCGGCTAACAAAGTCCAGCGTCCTGGGATCGGCCTCGCATTTACCACCGTTGTAAGAATCGGGAACTGCCTCGCGACAAACGCCAACTCCTGTACTTAGATGCAAATCACCGATCTGCATAATCTTGTATCGACCATCACTGTTGATCCTGGGCGTTGGCTTCTTAACCTCTCGTGGAGGACCTCGGCGCACGCTTAGCTGGACAGAGAGAAGGCTACCGCCCGTGTTGAGGAGCAAAGGTGTTCCCGTCACAGCATATCCATCTCTTGCCTCAACAGCATCATCTCCGAAAAGAACATCAAGATCCGTCACCGCCTGCTTCGAATCGCTGGCTTTCTTCTTGGCTGAGCGCTTGATCCAGATACCTGATGGACGAGATTCCCATGAGTCGTCCGTTTCTCCCTTGGGTTGAGGTTGGAGCCTGCCGACCGCGACATCCACAACAACACGATCGTCCGCAGTAAGATCCCCCTCATGCTTTCGCATGATGTACATGTATGCGCTCGTTGTCCATGTCTTGCCGAGATAGAGCTCCTTATCGATTCGGTGCCATTCTTTGCCGAGGTCGCATGAGGAGAAGGGGTTAACGCTCGAGCAAGTGACTATTGTGACATCGGTGACGACCAGTCCGGGGTGATGGGAGGGCATATAACTGTGGATCGAATTGGGGAGGACACGATAATTGCGGTCGAGAAATGCGATGACTAAAAAGGTGAAAATAGCAGCGCCAGCAAGCTGAGCAGCTGTTCGAACCTAGTGATGGGAATATGGTTAGTCAACAGCCTCCTCTGGATCAATACTGATCATGAATTTACAAAGAACGGCCACATACAATTCTTCGAGTCATGATGTGTTAATTGTGGGAGGATAACGGGCTGACAAGAATCGCTCTGAATGTATCCAAGTCTAATATTCAGGCCACTTCAAGTATGAACGGCCAGATAACAACGTTCGAAACGGGCATTCGGGAGTTTAATGGCAGGCCGAACTTTTCGCATCTTCTAAGGGGTCGGATCGGGGGTGCTATTGCATGATTCGTGGGGCCAAGTCGGTAATGGATATGATGGGAATAATGCGCGCGGGTCTCTCGGGCAGGTTGAAGCTATTGCAACGGTTGCGAGGGTGTTGTCTGCAAGTTGAGAGGTGATGGTTATAAATGTCGATATGAATTGAATCAGTGGTGATGATGCGATCGACAGACAAATCGTGGGGACGGGAGGGGACAGTCCGTTCGTGTTAACACTAACAATGTTGGTAGTTGTTGATGGAACAAGTGGCAAGGCAGAACTATTATACGAGAGAAGTAGTAGCGAGATAGGCAGAGTCAAACAAAGCAAAGCAAAGCAAAGCAAAGCAAAGCAAAGCACCTGACATTCACCGCAGCAGGGGAAAGAAGGAACCAAGCTATTCCGCACCTTCCTGACCGTAAAAAGGGCCAAAAGCCAAGAAATCATTCAATTGTGATACTCGATCTTTCCCCTGGCGAACCGTCAAAAAAAGGGTACTCTAGGTAGGTAGGTACTTACCTACCTAATGGTACCCAGTCCATCAAGTGTGGAGCGCCCGGTTAAGGATCCGGATCTCGGGTTACAGGGGGGTATTTGAGTTGGTGGCTCTTGAATTTCTACGTAATCTTTTACTTGAATATGGCTATTGCCATTTCTCTATGTTGATGATTCATTAATAGAAATGTATCAGGACGGCCGTTCATCTTGCAAATGCCTCTACTTGCATAGCTCTCCTGCGAGCACCCCTGAAAATAACAGGCGTGCTCAGCTGTACAGGCCATTCTGGGGTTACATCAATAGATACACTCTCGATATGGCCACGTGAGGTGAGGCCCTCGATTACCATCCAATACTGGGATCATGTGGCATCCTAAGCAGCCCTTTCTCTGGCTGGTATTTGTCGTTGCAGGCCAGTCTATGATGCTGCAGAATGTGCGATACAACCGTCCACTGCTTGAAGTGCCGTTGCTCCATGAGTCGACTTGCATAAGTGAGGGTGTGATTGTCTCTGGCGTATCCTGCAATGCAATGAGACCTGATGATGCCAACGAATGTGTAGTCTAGGTACTAAGTAGAGGGACGAAGAGCTCTAAAAGCGGACAACAGGAGCTTTGTTGAGCTTCTTTCAGAGCTTCGCGGCCCGTGCACATCTCCCTGTGAACAGAGGCAAACACCGTTAAGCCAATAGAAAGCAAGATTGGTTTCATAATAGAGGCATCATTGGATATGGTACACGTTCAGTGAGATAATTGAAGTCTGATTCAGCGAGTCACACACAAGAATCCATACCTTAGGTAGGCTGTCTTCAATATCGACTCTCCCATTTATTGATTTCTTTGTTGGTTGGAGATAAGATAAAGAGTTTACCCTTGGCTGATTCTAGGGGATGACGCTTGTATCACTGTGGGTCGCTCCTATCCATTCTTTGTTTGAGGCGCGTACCTTGCTTCGCCCTCGTCCGCTCCATCGAAGCAACTCAAGCCTTTTCTCTTCTTTCATCAAAGCATCGCAGTCCAAGTCGCACTAATCGCATAACTAGCCGCGCTTCTTCTCCGATCCTGAAAAGTCTCCTAATCATTACTTAACGCGCTTCAATTGACTTGCGCAATATGGCCGAATATTCGTCACTCAAGGTGCCTGAGCTGAAGAAGTTGCTGGCTGAGAAGGGCCTGCCTCAGACGGGCAACAAGGCAGATCTTATTGCAAGGCTCCAAGAGAACGATCGAACCTCCGAAACCGTTGAGAAGCCCGGTACGTGATTCCATCAGATCTGGGATACAACCTCTCGCGCGTCGCATCGCATCGACAACATCGGCTAATTGGATCCTTCACAGCTGAGAACAAGGAGGATGAAATCAGCTACAGTGATGACGAGGCTCCTGCTGCACCGGCCGCTGCCGCTCCTGTAGCCGCCTCTGAGCCTGTTACTGAGGTTCCTTCCACCGAGGCTGCACCCGCCGAGGCTGCCAAGGCCGAAGAGACGACAGCAGAGAAGCCCGCCGAGACAGCGGAGGCTCCTGCTGAGCCTGAGAAGTCTTATGCCATCGGTTTACAGTCCACCGCTGCTGACGACGAAGCCAAGAAGCGTGCCGAGCGTGCCAAGCGGTTCGGTATTGAGGAGGACGAGGACGCCAAGAAGCGCGCCGACCGTGCGAAGCGATTTGGTCTCGACGAAAAGGAGCTTGCTACTACTCTTGACTCAGCACTCCCAGAGCGCTCGCGAAAACGAGGTCGGGACCGCACCACTGAAGGTGAAGGAAACCGCCCTGGAAAGCGACAAAGCCTGGACCGAAGAAACGGTGGTGGCGGTCGACGACGCGGTCGTGGTGGTCGAGACGGCGGTCGTGATGGTGGCGCTCGAAAGGACAAGACGTCTACCAGAAGTGGTATTCTTGATGACCCAACAGAGAAGGCCAAGGCAGAGAAGCGTGCTGCTAGGTTCGCTGGGAACTAGTAGTTCTCATCATAACCAATACGACATGGAATTTGGCAAGTAAAAAGGTTTCAAATTGAGGATAGGCTGAAACTGGGCGGAGCAGGCAGACTTACGTTAATGGACCATTTCTACTTGTACAACATTTTTATTTTCATATTCAGGCGCAGACTATCAAGGATAAATGAATAAAGAGGAAATCGGCGTCTTTGGTTCGACCAATGCCCACTATCAATCAGAATCTTGAGGTCTATGGTAAGTTCTCTGTCTCCAGATCTAACCAGTTGTGATGAGCAGCCTTAGTAGCAGTCCCGAAGAAGACGACCTGAAGAAAGACAGCTGAATGGAAGAGCAATAAAAATCGTCAATCTGCGGTTTCTCAGACGGCTAGTCTTTGCATGTAGCTTGAACTGGTCGATATCGACCCAAGCGTCCAAGTATTCAGCTGTCTTATGGCATAACGCTCCTCTGTGAGAGCTCGGGGCCGTGAGGAAAAGCACAAAGGCTCGTCCGATCATACTTCGTCAATAGACACCTTACCCCTATCTTGATGTTGTGCGAACACGGTGGCCTTGTGTAGAGCAAGAGTCTACCGGATCATCCTTCACGGTGGAAGGAATCCGCACGATCCGAATGGTTACACTTCAACTAAGGAGAAGCGGATCTTCAAGATTTAGCATCTTGTCAGACAGGAAGGGGCTCGATTAACTTTTAACTACTTTCTGTTAGTCTGGCCGCCGGAACGGCAAAGAGACTGGACTGTTCGGATACGAGCCGTAGATGGAGCCAAGCTGACTTGAAGCTTGACATGCATATCCACTAGCACTCAACACCATGACCTTGCCTAGGTCCCACTACATATACGGCGGAATTGAGCTTCCATCACGGGGAGGCCTTCCTTTGACTCTAGCTCCCGTGAGACTTGTGCGCTGTTGCACGACTGCCGGTGCCGCGGTCCTGGTCCTGCGATGCCCCTATTCCTTGAGGGCCACTTGTAGTGCAACTTACTTTTCTCCTTGTGGGCGGTTGAACTAAGAGGCTTTCATTGGGGAGTGAAAAACAACAGAAGAATTTTCAGTCCTCTTTCAGGAAAAGGCGCATCTCTGGTAACAGCTGAGAAGTTACAGCTAGTGAGCGAAAGCCGGGCAAGTGGGAGACCACGCTATCCAACTTCAGCGTTGATGCTTCATATTGGACAGTCCGGCATGAGCGTCATATCTGCAGCAAAGCACGAGACTCTGTTTATCAGCCCTGCCAACATTCAGGGATGATCCGAGTACTGGCGATTCGTAGATATCTGCAGCCATTGAGCAGATCGACGTTAAAGATGAGTACAGGAGAAGGGGCACACCTTGATCGGAAGAATGGCATGTCTGGCCAGCACTTCGGACCAAGGAAACACATTGCGAATGGCTCGAAAACGTCTGGAACCAACGAGAAACAAATACTCGCGGCTGCGCTAATCCCGCAATCCCAAAAGGGCTCATGGCTTCTTCAACGACGCAAGCCACGATCTCCGTTCTCGGACGATAGTTGCAGTCTCCGAAAGGACCCGGACAAAACGTGCAGTGGCTGCCATGCCTCAATGGCCAATATTGGTGAGATGATGAGCAGAATAAAAGACACTATAAAGAAGAAGGAAGCGAGATAGGACCATCATCACCAACAGCTTTGATCGTGTGGTTGTCAACATTCCCAAACGCTAAGCTCGAGCCAAGTCTCAGACAACAAGCCAATCAAGGGGGCAAAACCCTTGCTCTCGCGATAAAGCAGCCCTGGTCGCCGAGCCGTCTGGCGGCTATGGTTGGTAGAGGCGTCTAATCAATTGGACCACTCCGACTCCAGCGACTCCAGTTGCCGTTGGACGCTTAGAGCCCGTCGTTGTGCTCGAGTGTGTAGCCAGGCCCGCTCGATCATCGCAAGCGAAGAAATGGCTTCACAACCGAGAGTGCTGGGCTTGCGCATCGTTTCACATCACGGGCTGGCAAATATTGCAGTTTGATGAGTTGTCAATGAGGCAAAGCTGCACATCGGGGCATTTGCATGCATTCACCGCTGCCCAAAGTAGAGAGTACTTTGATCTCGAATTCGAGTGACTTTGCAAGGGACAAGACAAGCATCACAGATGGCACCTCATTCGCTCGGCCGACTGACAAGCCACATGGACAGGGGGGACCTGGCCTGAGTAAGGCTTGAGGCTTCACCTCTGCCGGAGTGGCCAGCCACGAGCGATCTGCCACGTCAGTGAAGGCATCTCAACTCCTAGAAATCAGGGTCACCAGCCTCAAGGATCTGAGAACCTGTGGCGGATATGGGGAATTTTTTGCTGTGGCGGAGCTACATGCTGCATATGGGATGCCTCTCTTGTAGCCACTTTTGGAAACATGTTCCCCAAATCATGCCGGT